TTCTGATTATATGAGAATCAATATATATATTACAATGTAGGTTTTCACGGATGGTAGAATATGATGTGTTGTTTTTCCGGGTGTTCATCCGTTGTGTACTATTCGATAGTCGACGTTTCGCCATCATCTCAGATGGCATTATCAAGACGAGTTACTGCTTCGCTTCGAGAGTTACACCTCTCGAGTTCAAACCTCAAACTTTTTGCTGAACATTTTTCATCTACTGCTGCATCTACACATTTCAGTCAAAATGTTTCACTTCCCTGTAACTTCTCTGTTGATACCGTCAGTCTGTATTTCTTTGATACATCCCCTTTCAGAAAAATGGAAATTCTAGATACTCTTGAAGTAATGGCAAATAAAAACTACGCGGGTATTGATGGTATTGTCAAAAAGTTAATGACCTTATATTCGAGCCACTATTGATCTTGATGAGTCAGTAATTTTTTTTTGTTTTCAAGTATATTCAAAAGGGCTCTTATATTTCCCTCTATACTTTGTTCTCTCTCTAAACTGAGAAATTTGTTAGTAATAGTAATAACCAACATGGTTATTACTTTTTAATAATAACCTTCAGGAAGAACAAATCAATCAAATCATCTTCATACCATTTAATAAATTTCACTTATACACATCTTGACTTGAACAAACTGGTTGTAACAATTTAATAGGATTGTCAAAGCGAGCCTAGGTTTCCCAATCAATTCATTGGGATGGGTGAAATCATATATGGTCATAAGTGATGTGTCTTAATTTTCTTCCGAATATCACATAACCATGTTTGCTGATAATACCGCAATTACTGTGGACAGCAAAAATGAAGTAGAGTTATCATAAAAAATCTATACAATAGTAGACAAATTCAGTTCTTGGTGTCGAAATCTAATTCAATGAAATCATTTATTAGGAAAGTTTTCAGCAGCGATTTTTATACAATAAATGGTATTCCATCATCCAGTGAAGTTATGTTTTTAGAAACGTCTTTGAATGAATGAGATCATTATTTAATATAGGTTTTCAAGATAGTTGTAGGCCAATTTTTCTAAGAGAGGGCCTTTGACTGCACTTTTTATATTTACCTTTGCCATTAAAATATCAATATATTTGTCACAAATTCGAATATATTCACGAAAGAGATGCCCACCATGGGAACCAACTGAGAATTACTTCCCACTATTTAATGCAATAAACTATTCTAATAACTTGCAGGAAAATCGAATCAGAAAAACTTTTCAATATTGAGGTGAATAAACTACTCATATGGAAGTGTTACAACAGTCTTGAGGAATTTTTGCATGACTCTTTTGAAAGCATTTGGTAGTGGAGTTTTTTCTCGAATTGTGGTGCATTTGTTATATATTAATTTGTGTGTTGTGAAAGAAGTTAGCACATGTCTTCAGTGTACCAAAGTGTCAAATGAATGAATGAATGAATGAATTTCAGTAAATCACAACACTGTTTATTTTTAAGAGTATGAAAATAATCAATAAGAATTTCTTGAATATGCAAGTCGTTATCTGATAAAGCTGTTACAGTATTATTTCGGTTATATTCAAGTGGCTTACAGTGGCATGGATAAGTTATCAGATCATTAACAAAAAATTAAAGTTTTCAAAATGTTGTCCTCTTTCTATTTGCCATTTCCGAGTTCATATTTTCTGGCATCTACATACCCTCATTAATGTGAGTAACCAATTCACACCAAATACGATTTTTGATTTTCAATATGCCCTGTTTTTGGAAATAACATTAATAGCTTTCCAAAATATCAGATGAAGCAATATTGATGAAATAAAATTTATAATTTTCCGGGTAGAGATCTCTGGCATTTGACTTCTATGACACTATTGTCACCAATTAGCCCATGTAGAGAAGCACCCAAGAATGGATAATTCAGGTGTGTAATCAAGCCCACTCTCACAAAATTTTGTTGTGATTTTTGAGAGTTCATATTTTAGCCAATTCTTCATTCATTATTCCATGCCTCATTTCTAAGGTATTGTGGGGCTTTCATCTAAAATTGTTTCAACTATATTTTCATAAGAATTTTCATGTTTCACTTTGCGGACTACCAAAAAAAAAATCACTCTGTTTGACCTATGTTCTTTTCATAACTCAGATTATCTTTGTGATTGTGTAAAATTCTTATCAACTTTTTGTATGCTTCGACTAATCTAAAAAATCTTTGTTAGTATTTATGTGAGGAAGTACCACTGTTATATTTTGGCTCACATAAACAATATATGAGCCAAATTCAGTACTTCATTATTATATAATTTTTGTTTGTTTTTACTGAAAGCCATATAGTCTCTTAAAAAACGAGCATTAAAATGGGTTGTTGACTGTTTTTTGGTTTTCGACACCACATTTCTTGAGAGTTTTTCTCGTTAGATTGATGAATTGAGAACATTTGAGATTTATTTCTTTTTTGAGTTTACCATTTTTCGTATGTGAGAAATGTTTCTACTAGAGAATTATTTGTAGGTTCAGAATAGGATATCATCAAACAGCTCCAAAGTGGACAAAAAGGCAAATATTTCTGTATCACTTAATTTAAAAATTCGTTTTTGAACATATTGTTTTCAAAAATACCATCTGATGTTTGATTTTCATTTCGAAGTCGAATTTCTAAGAATCTTTTATAAAAATAGCTTGCCCGGAATATAATAGTACCCCTTAGACAGCTATCTGTTTAAAAATCTGTTTTTCCATTAATCAGGTGTCGCCCCCATACGAACGACAACTCTCAGAAGTTGAGAAACTTGTGCGAGCTAAGGACTAACGAGGTCTTACCTTTTAACGTGTGATTCCTAACACGGTGGTAGAATCATCCCAGCTTCAACCAGATAAATTATCTCGAGAAAAATATCTGGTCGAGGCAGGAATCGAATCCACGGTCTTCCGATCGTGAGTTGGGCGCACTACCACCGCGACCAATTCCGCAACTATCTTTGGGTATATTATTCTTTGGTGGTCTGAACTGCATATAAACCTTGCTGAACATTTTTAAGGATATAAACAGAATTTTTGAAAATTTCATTCAAGTATAAACCACACCATAGACGGCTTTGAAATAAATCATAACACTTTAAGGACAAACAGAATTTTTGAAATGTTTCATTCGAGTATAAACTACCCCTTAGACAGCTCTCAAATCAAACATTCATTGGTGTATTATTTATTCAGTTTATTTGAAGTGTTTAATATGAACTTGGCTGAACATTTTCTGACAAACAGTATTTTTGAAAATTTTCGTTCAAGTATAAACTACCCTTCAGATGGCTCCCAAATGAACCGTCTCTAGGTATATTATTCTTTAGTCTATTCAAACTGTCTACTCCGAATAGGATGAGATGATAATCATAAAAAAATCATGATACACTAGATATATTCATTAAGTCAAGACAAATATGATTATCAAAACAAAATGTCAATGCCATAAGCCTAGTGAAACATTTTTCTAAATATAAAGGAAATGTTTGTTCAATCCCCTCAGTCATGAACCCATTTGTCCTTCTTCGACAAAGATCAGCCAAAAGGGTAAGGGAGCTGGGCTCCAACCTGAATGAAATCAAGACAACGTGCAGGTGTTTGTTCAAGCATAAACCATGGCCTAATTTTACCTCAAAATAAACCTCATTGTATTTAATTAAGAAACAAAGCAAAACTGTATGTGATACAATTTCCATTCACATTATATATGTTTTTGCTGCTAGTTAAAAATGGCTACTGGAAAATGACCACCAACTTCACAACTATCTTATATATGCCTTGGTTTTTTAGGTTAACTTTGTCTATTGAGTTGTTTGAGAGAAATTTCTGATTGTTCTCATAGTTTAATATGTTGTGTCGTTTTAGAATCTATCTTATTTTATCTGTAACTACTCTGACGTAGTGTAGGATGGCTTTAATTTATTTTGTGATCCCGGTTTTATTGTTTTCCTTCTTTCTTTGGTGGGTTGCTTTCTGAATTTTATGATTTTCAAGTCCATTCTGCTGAAGAGGTTTTTGAAAGTTTCATTTCTCGCTCCTTCATGTCTTCATCTGTCAGGAGTTCAGACTATATTGTGAATTTATGAATTTGTTTATGCCACTATCCATATTAGTTTTTACTTAAGCACTGATAAATACTTTCTATATTATATGTACAGCTTGCCAAATGTAGGACGAGCTTTCTGAATTCCAATATGGTCCTGCCACCAGATGCGCAAATGATCTTGTTGCGACAGTTTCCAATCTCTTTCATTTAAGTCTCTTCCTAAATTTGAAAAACTGTACTTGATAAAGTATAAATTTCTATACCTGATGGACCCTCTAGCTAAAGTAGGTTCAAGTTGCCAATACTTTGTGGGTCTGCCAAATGCCATGTTGTCTTCGGATACATAATAAGGTCCCGCAAAATCCCTTATGATCCCAGAAGATAGTGCAATACCCATATGGCCAATGACTGGAAATATCCATGTTAATAATGGTATTGGTGTCCATACAATGCAAAAAGGATACTTATCTCTCAATTCGTCTATTGAATAGTCATTCATTTCACTTGACTCCATGAACTTTTTCATTACTGAATTAATGAATCTGAAAAATAAGTTCAAATCTACTAGTCATGCATATAATCTGGATGTTAGTCCAATTCATACTTTTATTAATACATGTTTTAATTTTGAATTGATGGTTTTTACCATAAAGTACTACAACCTATCAGCACTAGCAATCTTTATTCTTTCCATTTCGTGAAAGTTTATTAAAAATTTATGTATGGATACAGTCAGCCACAGACTTTTTAACCTGCGTCTCGGAATTATTCAACTATAAGCACAGCTTACTTACTATGCTGTGCTATAAGTTATAAGATTAGTGATGGGCAAATTCGAATTAAAAATACTCGATAATTCGATTATCATAATAATTCAAGATATCGAATCGATTATCAAGATAATTCAAATTTCTTCTTCTTCTTCTGATTATATAATCGTTGCTACCTTCTCTCACTCTAGGGTTTCTTGACCATTGCTTCCGAAAAACGAATTTAGCCCTCGTTGCTTCCTTAATTAGCACCATAGACGTTTTCTGGCGCTCATGTATTTTCGTTTTCGTATGTGATTCAAATACATTCATTCTGGCGTTGAAACGATTTCGTCACATCAACTATGATTTGAAACGTATTCATGATGATTTAAAACTAGCGTGAGGTTGGTTTTGAAACGGAATTTGACGTTACGTCAGTTGTCAGTTTCTGCTTTATTTTGATCGTTATAATTTGTGAAGTACTGACATTTTTTTGTCAGATATGTTGTAAGGATGTACTAAATAATGCTGCAGAATTATAAGTTGTACCTTTGTATCTAGACTAACCTAGTAGGATAATTTACGTGTATTTCCTATTTCCTATTTGACACAAAGTCGAGCGCCATCTAGTCAAAAAACGGTATACCTACCTATAGAATTTAGTAACTGTACAGATACGACCCCTAGGTACTACATTCAAAATTACAAAGTTGAAGTAGGGCTGGACTCCGATAATTTAATGCGAATTGTATTCAAGTGAAAATATAGAAATCCATGTATTTATTGAATCATAAATTACTAATTTTTCAACATATCGAGAGACTTATTGCTAGCAAATATATCTCTATTATAAGGACATAACTGCAAAATGGTAGTTATGAAACCTTGGATATCAAGAATAAAACTCTTTAGAGTATAGTTTGTTGATTTGTTTGTGGAAAAAACGCTATTCAATGATTGAAATGCCTGAATTGTCATATCAATTTAATGCTCCGGGGCGACTTGATTGATTCCAGTGGCGCATTTGCTTTTTCAGCTGCAGGAAAAACCCCGAAAAATCTGCAGCACCACATCATCTGAAGATCTTATCTGCCAATGTCGTCTCTTTCATAAAATAAATTGTATGTTCTGCTACTGCACCAGACATCATTAGTGGTATGTGCGTTGACTGCGAAAACAAAATATATATCTTGAAGTCTCAGAAACGACTGACTGACGAGACGAAACCCATCTTGATTTTGATCAGGTTGAAAATCTCTTCCCGTACCCTTTCAACTGTCTCTCGCCATGAGGACGAGTGGTTCATAACTAAGAGTGCCGTTTGGTAACGGCATAGAGGTCAATGACATCTATGCCACTCTGGCCTTGTGTACCCCTTCCTGACTGGGGTATTGATGAACAAACTGTTCATTTTAACAGACGTCGTGGGGCCTTCACTCAACCGAGCGACGGGGCCTTCTGAATCGAGTGGGGTCGTCTATAGTGTAATCTACAGCTTCCCTAACTAATGGGTTATCATGAGTTTCCGCTGACTCGAAAACTCTCTGATTCCTCAACTGAATGGACTGCTGTATGGTTAACAGCTTCAAATCTCTGCGGATGGATTCATTCCGCACGAACCATGGAGCATTCACCAGCATCCTAATGAGTTTGTTTTGCAATCTCTCCAGAATGGAGAGATTTGTCGGAGCGGTTTGTCCCCAAGCGCCTGAAGCATACATAATGACAGGCTTGAACATCGTATTGTATATTAAAATCTTGTTCTTAAGATTTAGTTTTGACTTTCGGTTTATCGGAGGATAGAGTTTAGCTATCCTCATTTGTATTCTGTCTTTGATGTACTCAATGTGATTTACCCAGGTGAGTCGGCGGTCTACCCAAAGACCTAGGTATTTGACTCGCGTTTGCCATTCGATCTCCCTGCCTGAGATCGTGACTCTTGTGTCTGGAAAAACGTTGCGCCTCCCCAAATCTATCGCCTGAGTTTTTTCTGGGTTCATCCGAATCTTCCACTTAAGGTACCAGCGTTCGAGGTCGTCCAATGCGCGTTGCATGTAGACGACCGCCAACCCTCGTCCCATGGAAGAAGCGAGAAGAGCCGTATCATCGGCGTATAGGGAAGTCTTCACGTGATCGAACCTCGGAAGGTCGCTCACGTAAAGGCTGTACAATAGTGGAGACAGCACAGCTCCTTGAGGCACTCCAGCTTGGATTTCCCTGACCGGAGACAGGGTTCCTTCAACTCGGACCTGAAATGATCTGCCTTTCAGAAAGGACCAAATCCACCGGATCAGGCCCCGAGGCAGATCGAAATCGAGCATTTTGTGTAGTAAGCCTTCGTGCCATACTCGGTCGAAGGCTTTTGAAATATCCAGGAGGACAATATGGACTGTCTTCCTGTTATTTAGCTCTGAGATGGAGTTTTCGACCAATCTCAGGGCCTGCAGCTCGGTGGAGTGTGCCCTCCTGTTGTTCATCAGGCAGAACATTTCGGTCTTCAACTTCTTCAGTTAGCTTTTGCAGCACAACACGTTCAGCCAGATTAGCCGCTGAGCAAAGCAGACTAATTGGACGGTGATTCTGGGGATACAACGGGTTCTGGCCCTGTTTCGGAATCATGACAACTACGGCATGCTTCCATCTTCGAGGGAAGTATCTGAGGGCGATTAAGCTGTTTATAATATCCAGCAAATATCTGATAAAGTTCTCCGGGAGCTGCTTCAACAACCTATTGTTGATTGAATCAATTCCCGGAGCTTTTTTGGGCTTGGAGGCTCTGATGTACCCCCTCAGTTCTTCCTCCGAAGCTGGACGGATCACATCGTCGTCATTTTCCCTGAGGATACGCTGAAGTCGTTGTTCCAGCCGGATATCACGGTCAATATCATCGTCCGGATCAACGTTAAGTTGGAACTGGTTTTCCATTGTATCTGCAAAGGCCAACGCCTTCTCGGCGGAGGAGTAGCAGACACCGCGCTGTCCGTGAAGAGGGGAGGGAGCAGTTCTCCTCTTATCGAGCCTGCGGGTGACTCGCCATAGCTCATCATCCCCAGGTTCAAGAGATATCAAACACTCACTCCACCTCTCGTTTCTGTAGTCAATGATGGCCCGTTTGACTTCGTTGGCCATCCTGTTAGCAGCAGTCTTGTCCCCAGGATAGAGGGTCCGCTGATAATCTCGTCTGAGTCGGTTCCTCTCCCGGATAAGGTTCTTTATCCTGAGAGGAAACTCATTGTAGTTTCGCAGAGGACACTCCGTCCTAGTTGTGGCTGCGCTGAAAGCGTTGTTCACAGACAGTTCGAAATCTGCCACTGCCGCGTCGAGGCTGTTGCGAGTTTGAAGTGCCTCGCGGTCCGTAGGTGTCTCCACTAGATGAGCCTTGAAGGCTTCCCAATCCGTGGATGATCTCATGCGATATTCCTGAGGAGGGGGATCATCACCCAGCATCAGGATGACTGGATTATGATCTGAGTTTATTTCCGACAAAGTGTACACTTCGCAGGACATGGAGACGTTCCTGAGTAGTGCGATATCAAGCACGTCAGGTCTTTTATCCCCACGGTAGAACGTAGGCTCATCTGGACCCATCACTCGATACTCATGCCTGTCAGCATGCGCATAGAGCGCTCGGCCGTTCGTATTGGTGATTCTGCCCCACAGATTGTGCTTGGCGTTGAAGTCACCAGCAGCAATTGTGGGGGTATCTGTTGACAACAGCAGTTCATGACTGACGAGCTTTGTCGCCACTCATATTTATAATTTCAGAGGGTGGTGGGAGAGATGGCGGGGTCTCCATGCAAATGCTCACTCCTGATTGGTCCGCATGTTTGCTGGGTCTTTCTCATCAGTCCGTACTGTTACTACGTTGTTCTGATTGGTTCACGTTGTTGACAGGTATGCTACTGGTGTGATGTCGATAAAAGTTATATTCCAGTCTAATTCTGGCCTTGTTGATTGCTGCACATCACGTTATGTTGACCTGTGTACCTTCTTCTTTTCTGTTGACATTTTTGGGATGCTTCTACTCATACTATAGCATGTTCTACAATTATGAATTTCTCTGGTTGAATGAGACGGCAGCTATGCTAGTATTCTTGTATCCTGGTTTTCCTGCGTTTGGAAGTTCCAATGATAATTGAGCCATGGTAACAGAGAATCCTGTAAATACTGGCGGATGCCACAGGCTTTCTCCAGGCCGTGGTCTATCTGATAGTATTGAATAGTTGATTAGTTGCCTTGTAACTGGTCTTAAAGTTGTAACCTGTGAACAGTTTTCCGATAGGGTCCATGACTTTGTATCAGGAAAATAGACTGTGTCTATGACTGGCGGCTGTATCCCGGTCAACGTTGTGGTAGTTCTTCTTCTTCCATAGATAGTTATTACAAATATCCCTCTGGGTGGAGCCAAAAGAATTGTGAGTGTGTCTATGGGGGCGAGACAAGATTCTCACCTTCTATCGATAGCAGAAGTTTGCAAACAAACTATTTAGAAAATTGTTTTGATTTCGTTAAATGATCTTTATGTATTTTTCTGCGCTGATTTAAAAAATGACATTTGCTTTTATCTATCACGTAAGGTTTGTCTACAAAATAAGGATGAAATAATACAAAATAATACAAAAAAACGAGGAATTGTGGATTTATTTTTGTTATTTCAACATGAGGTGGAAGCAAAAAATAAACAATGCAACATAGCTTAAACCAAGCAAAATAGTGATACACAAGTGTTTGCAAAGTGATAAAGTGATTATGAGTCTTTGTAAAAACGTTTTCTATTTCCGTCAAAGCTTCTTTCGGTACTTTTTCGGCTGTGTTCTTGTGAATGATCCCTTTTTAACATCCAACAGTAGTCTGCCATCATGTTAACACTCCA